TGTGTGTTGTGTGTTTTGTGTGTTGTGTGTTGTGCGTTGTGCGTTGTGCGTTGTGCGTTGTGCATTGTGCGTTGTGCGTTGTGCATTGTGCGTTGTGTGTTGGTGTTGTTGTTGTTGCTGTTGTTGTGGTTGATGTTGTTGTTGTCGTCGTCGTCGTTGTTGTTGTTGTTGCTGTTGCTGTTGGTGTTGTTGTTGTTGGTGTTGGTGTTACCCCTGCAGCGTTTTTGCTCGGTTCCGTAGTGGCCGAAAATCGTCAAATCGGTGGTGTTTTCGCGTGTTTTTGCAACTCTCGGAGCAAAAAACACCGTAAATACCAATGTTTTTGGGGGGTCGGAAGCCCAAAACCACGGTATTTACGATGTTTTTTGCCTCTGGTAGTAAAAAGCACGGTATTTACAGTGTCTTTTGGCCAGCACCTGGCAAAAACACTGGTATTTACGGAGGTTTCACCATGTAGCAAAATGTGGTTTCTTGATCCGAAAAGAACAAAAATACTGTAAATTACAATGTTTTGAGTCTGCTCTTAGGGTGCGTGGGAGGTGTGGAGGGGTGGGGTGGGGGGTACTAAAATGACTAGCAATCTCCTGAAGAATCAGGTAACGGGGCTGGCCGCCCTCCCCTTTACTTCGTAAAGTAAAACTCAAGGTAGCCCCTCTGGAGCTACCTTTCGTGATTTGGCAAGATTTGAGTTAGATTTTGAATAGGAATTCAATCGGTTTTGAAATATAAAGTTCATTTTTTTTTAACGAATGTTTTCAATTTAATGTCAGGGGGAAGCTTCGGAATCCAATTTTGGCAATATTTTAGTTAGATGTTATTTAAAAAATGTTTTCCAATTTAGTTTTTTTTACCAAGGGGGAAGTTTCGCACCCTCATACTAAATACCCACTAAATACAAAAAACTATTCCGTGTGTTCATTATTGGGTGGGGAGGGGCAAACGGTTTATTATGACGCAGGGATTGGTCAGGCATCACTTGCTGGAATTATTGGATTCTTTTGGGATGATTGGTATGATGTTTAGTCAGGCATGGTTCCCTTCAGTCATGCACGATTTTTGCAAAAATCCTATTTAGGCACGACCCCAAAATCCCAGCCCGGCAAATTCCGGCCCGGGCCCGGCAAATTTCGGCCCGCGCCCTGCAAATTCCGGCCCTGCGTTTTTCCAAAATCAGGCAAAACCAGTAAATCAGGTATTAAGTCAGGTGTAGTTACCTTTTAAGTCATTAAGGCTAGTCAGGCATGGGTCAGTGGGTACCTTTTAATTGTGAAGGCTAGTCAGGCATGGTTCCCTGAATTCAGGGGCATGGGTACCTTTTAATTATGAAGGCTAGTCAGGCATGGGTTCTGTTAAGTCAGGCGTGGGTGGGTACCTCTTAATGTCTCTTAATTATGAAGGCTAGTCAGGCATGGTTCCCTTAAGTCGGGTGTGGTTACGCTTTAAGTCATGAAGGCTAGTCAGGCATGGGTACCTTTTAAGTGATGAAATCTGAGTCAGGCGGAGCTCCTATTCTAAATGTGTTAAATCCAATTGTTCAGTGTGGAAAATCGATTTTTTGGTTGGTCTACGGGCAAACCCTGTGTCTTCCAATACCATAGCGTGCTGATGTCGCTTGCCTGCATAATAGTTTAAGGCCAAAGCTTAGGTCATCAGTGTGATCCTGAAATGGCGCCACGACCAAGAAGATGACATGTGTAAAATGGGCCCTGGATTAACAAAGGCTGACTAATGAATTTGGAGGATGCCACTAAAGTATGACATGTAATCACTTTTGAGGAGCACTCTATGGCACGCAGCGCGCGCAGCCTGCTTTACGGTTTAGCGTTTGAAAGTTTTAGGCTTTGCCTCTATGGCACGCAGCGTTTGAAAGTTTAACCGTTTACCTCTATGGCAGGCTGTGCGCGCAGTACGCGTTACGGTTTTAAGTTTGAAAGTTTTTGGGTTTATGTGTGTGGCACGCAGTGCGCGCAGCGCGCATTCGGGTTTAGGGTTTGGAAGTTTTATAGTTTATTTTATTGCATGCAGCGTGCACAGCGTGGGTTGAACTTTAGGGTTTCGAAGTTTTAGGGTTAACCTCCATGCCACGATGGTTTAGGGTTTGGAGATTTTAAGGGGTACTTCTATGGCACACAGCGCGCGTTAGGGTTTAGGGTTTAGGGTTTGGAAATTTTAGGGTTTACCTCTATGACACGAGAGTTTCAAGTTTGAAGATTTTAGGGTTTATTTCTATTGCACAAAGCGCGCGCAGCGCGCATTAGTGTTTAGGGTTTGAAGGTTTTAGGGTTTATCTCTGGCACGCAGCGCGCACAGCACGCATTAGGGGTTAGGGTTTGGAAGTTTTAGGGTTTATTTTATTGCATGCAGCGCGCACACCGCGGGTTAAACTTTAGGGTTTGGAAGTTGCATAACACGATGGTTTAGGGTTTGGAAATTTTTGGGTTTACTTCTCTGGGACACAGCGCGCGCACCGCGCATTAGGGTTTAGGGTTTGGAAGTTTTAGGGTTTACTTTATTGCATGCAGCGCGCGCAGCGCGCGCAGCGCGCATAGAGTTTAGGGTTTGGAAGTTTTAGGGTTTCAAGGGTTCCAAGGTTCCAGGGTACCAGGGTCCCACGGTTTCAGGGTTCCAAGGTTTCCAGGGTTCCAAGGGTTCCAAGGGTTCCAAGGGTTCCAAGGGTTCCAGGGTTTCAGGGTTCCAGGATCCCAGCAGGGTGCCAGGTGTGCAGGGTTGCAGGGTTCCAAGGTTCCAGGGTTCCAAGGTAGCAGGGTTCCAGAATCCTTGAGGGTTCCTGGGTGCCAAGGTTCCAAGGTTTCAGGGTTCCACGGTCGCAGGGTTCCAAGGTTCCAGGGTTTCAGGGTTCCAGGGTTCCGGCGTTCCAGGGTTCCAGGGTTCCAGGGTTCCAAGGTTTCAGGGTTCCAGGGTACCAGGGTCCCACGGTTTCAGGGTTCCAAGGTTTCCAGGGCTCCAAGGGTTCCAAGGGTTCCAGGATCCCAGCAGGGTGCCAGGTGTGCAGGGTTGCAGGGTTCCAAGGTTCCAGGGTTCCAAGGTTGCAGGGTTCCAGAATCCTTGAGGGTTCCATGGTGCCAAGGTTCCAAGGTTTCAGGGTTCCACGGTCGCAGGGTTCCAAGGTTCCAGGGTTCCAGGGTTCCGGGGTTCCAGGGTTCCAGGGTTCCGGGGTTCCAAAGTTTCAGGGTTCCAGGGTTCCAGGGTTCCAAGGTTCCAGGTTCCAAGGTAGCAGGGTTCCAGAATCCTTGAGGGTTCCATGGTGCCAAGGTTCCAAGGTTTCAGGGTTCCACGGTCGCAGGGTTCCAAGGTTCCAGGGTTTCAGGGTTCCAGGGTTCCGGGGTTCCAGGGTTCCAGGGTTCCAGGGTTCCAGGGTTCCGGGTTCCAAGGTTTCAGGGTTCCAGGGTTCCAGGGTTCCGGGGTTCCAAGGTTTCAGGGTTCCAGGGTTCCAGGGTTCCGGGGTTCCAAGGTTTCAGGGTTCCAGGGTTCCAGGGTTCCAGGGTTCCATTCCGGATTTTGAAGGCTGCAAGTCCCCGCGAGCCAGCCCCAGCCCTAGAGATTGAAACCCAACAGGCCCTGCTGTTGGGAATAACTATGGAATATTACTATGGGATATATATATATATATATGAGATATCATTTAGTAATATCTATGTATATCTTTTATATGAAACATAACTATGGGATACATATAGATATTACTATGCTATTACTGTGAATATTGTCATTTTATGTTACTGCATACTTATGGGACTATAATATAAACCATGTATCAATAATAGTGGTGTTATTAATGTTATTAAGAAGTTATGCCATAGTAGTTATTATGATTAAGGGATTTTATGCCATATGACTAATAAATGTGTTTCACATAATAGTGAAATGGACTTAATTGGTTTTACAATGATCCATGGACGATCCATAACTCTAGTCAGCAATAACTCATAATGACAGTGCATTATTTAAACTGACCATACTAACCATGGATAGTCAATTCTGGGATATATCCTAGAATTCGTTCCAAGATGTGTGACAATTCTGTTGGTCAACAAAAAAGACATGAATATCTCCATGTTTGCTGACAGTATGGGTTAATGGCATGGGGAATATCCCATTTTGGTAACCTGGTAATGGAACCCACCATTTTCGGCCAGGTCAAATGATCGCGAATTTCGGCTAGGTATTCCATGATAGTCCCATGGTTTCAAAGCATGATTTGTCCGATATATCTTCGTATGATTTCCTATTAGATGTACCAATGTACCATGGAGATTGCCATTGCCATTGCTATGAGTTACACTGGGATCAGAGCTGGGATAGTCTCCCATGGTCATTTCATGTCGCACCTGCTGAAAGAGCTCGAAGATCACACGTCTCTGGGCGAAACGACTGCGCCTATTGCGCTTTTCCACCACCAAAATGTGCAGATGCAGAAACGTGGCACAGGATTTCACCCTGAAATCCCCATGGTGAAGTGTCGAAGGCATGGCTACAAGGCATTGGCTACGCAAAATATACCAGCCATAAAAGCACCACAGCGGCTAGATGGCCATAGATTCTCAGTTTCAACGTTAAAATGTTTGCAACGTCCAATCTCCACTGTGGCACCGTTCCATCCTCTGAGCTTCCAAGCTTCTCGTTGCACGCATCGATCAATGCAGCCATTCGCTGCTGCTCGTGGATATAGTCCTACACATGACAGGAATCCAATTGAAACGGCTCTAAAAAATAATTGTTGTATAGTCACGCAACAGAAAACCGTTCGCGGTTGTGCTACTACCACGAAGTTGAAAATCCAGCACATTAGATGCATGTTCCATGGCAAATGTGAAAGGAACCCCACGTCTATCTTGATTTCCAAACAATTCAAGACGATTGGTTTTGCCCGAAAAATGCACGCGATTACCGTTTTTTTCGAAAAATCCGTCGTTTCAATTTTACATCATTCTTGGATTCCCGCTGTTCGTGACCAGAATTCTGTTTCCCTCATCCAGCTCCTGCCATCGCCGAAGCGCGCAGCGCGCATGCTGCAGCTGTCGTCTCTGCTGCAGCACTTGGGAGCTGCGGAAGAGGGATGCAGCCTGACGGAGATGGGATGAGGCCGGTGTACTGAGGTGTTTACTGAGGTGTTTGCCCAACTCATTTGTTTGAAAATGCGAAGATTGGTGTTTTTTAATTAATGTTTTTTACATTACTTTCAATGCCATTTCTGAACCAAAAAAAGCTGCCGTCCACCGGGGTTTTTCAAATGTGCCCGGCACCTGGTGCCACCTGTTCAGCGCAGCGCGGCAACCATCCAGCACCATGGCGTGGCACCATTGCTCCGCGACCTGGAAAATTGTTGGCACTTCTGACTTTTTCTGCTGAATGAAGCAGTAAATCACGTTGGCAACTCATATCAACTCAATTTCCTAGGTCTTGGCTGGTACTCTCAACAAAAATTGCGCTACATTTGATCAATTTTTTCCGCAGTACTTTTAGGGCCTCATCGCATTCGCGGCAGGAGTCCAAGAGACCTGGGAGTTGAAAGGATTTTATCTGGTTTTGTTTTTTAGATGATTTTCACAGGTTAATAGCCCATTCATAGTTGTTGTTAGCTATAGCTATATTTAATGTTAACAGGTTAGATGATTTTCTTAATATCTGGTTAATATAGCTTTAAAAAAATGTTTAAAAGCCTATTCAGAGCCAGAAATGAAATGGGGATGAGACATCGGGATTTCTCTACGATTGAATGGGAGTCAAATATGGGTCAAATGTGGGGTTCAACATCGGTGGACTCAGTTGATCGCACCAGTTGTGGCCATCAAATATCGGGTTTCTCCTAAATGGATGGTGTACAAAATTCTATGGTAATCTTAATGGGGAACATGACGTTACCCATTGGACTTCGGAATACCCGGTTACCCTAACTTCGCACAAAGCCATTTAATTACTGGTACCAGCCAGCTTCAATCCATAAAAATCAGGGAGAAATACAACAGGGTAACGCCGGGTAATGGTGGTTGATTCAACCCAGAAGAATGGAGCTATCGACAGGTGAGGATAGTCACTGGATAGTGACCAATGTTGTGCTGGGAACAGCTGGTCCGAAGGACAAGGGAAGGCAAGGGAAGGCAAGGGAAGGCACAGTGGCATGGCAGAAGCTTTCCGAAACGAAGAAAGTGGAGAGCGACATCTCTGCGAGTTGTTGAAGTTGTTGAAGTTGTTGAAGTTGTTGAAGTTGTTGAAGTTGTTGAAGTTATGGCGCCTTGTTGAACCTTTACCAATCTTTACAACATTCAACAGGACATTCACGCGTTGAATCACAGGAATCACAGAAATCACAGACCAAGGTGCCGATCCACGCGTTCCAAGAGGACTGCATGCTGACTGACAAGCTTTGGCTGATCACTATTGAAGCGCTCCTGGGCTCGGGCTGCAACAACGGAGAATTTTTCAAAGGGAAAGGAAGAAATTGAAAAAATGTTTGCTGGTTGTTGATGTTACTGATGTCGAACTGAAAAAATGTTTGTCACCTCTGGATCATCATCCCCAATGGGCAAATGGAGAACATATACAAGTATTTGAAATCATCAACCAGCATCCAGAAGACTGACATTGTTACCTTTCATGAAAAAAGAAACCAATCACAGAGGCGTCACAATTTGGCAGCTTGAAAAGGGCAAGTCTTTCTTCCAAACTCAGACTGGATCCTGGATCAATGTATCCTCCCCACAGCCATGAATAACCATGACCATAACCCCCATAATTCCATTCAATTCACCCAAACAATATCGGAAATCAATAGGTTTCGACCCATCTCAGAAATGGGTAGAATCCAAAATCATCATAATCGATCATTATCCCGGAAGATCCCCGCTTTCCCGGTTTTTTTCTCATACCCTGTTTTGATTGCCGATAGGAAGTTCTGCCACTTGGATCCCAAAAATGTGGCACCCAAAATAGCCATTTAAACAGTTTAAACTGGGAAATGGTGTCATAAAAGCATTGGACTATTGGACTTTAGAGATATTCGATTGACAATGTGAAACATAGCCACATAAACCATCATGTTTCAGCATTTTTCCTCGTTAAAGCCAAAATTACCAGTACCATAAACCCCAATGTTGATTTGTTTCATCACCATTTTTCCTGCCGGTTTAAACCCTCTTCAGGAAATCCGCGGGGATCTCCACCATGATAAACCCATCTAACCTTGAGTTATCATCGTCAATTTTGGTGATCAAATGTGATCAATATCAATGAAATAATGAAACAATCTAGTGCAATATCTATTCCGGTCATACCCCATGATATGGCGCTCGAAACCCTTGTACCCTGCTCACACCACAATAGGTGAGTTATGGGAGTTCATCCCAAAAAATATCGTGCAGACAATCATTACACTCCCATTAAACCACCATTGTTGATTGTTGATGCTCAAATTCGTTAAGTCCCCGGCAAATCCTTGGTGTTTGACCAATCCCCATATACCCAACGTATACAAGGTGAGGCCTGATAGTTATAAGTTGGTTTACAAATCACATTCACTATAGTTATATCCCCCATAAACCATAGTATTCACCAAAAAATGCGCGTCAACTTAGCTATCTAAATCCCAATAACCATTAATTCCCATTGAATCCCATTAAATCATATGAAAAACCCTTCAAATCCCAACATCCCAGAAACTGCGCAATTGCCCAGCGTCTCTTCACGTTTTCGCCGCGCAGCCTGTGTCAGCTGTCGCCAGCTTTTCAGCAGTTGCGCAGCAAACTGCTGGCGCTGCAAACGGCGCTGCAATTCAACAGCTTGGCGCCTCGAAACGGGAAACTGATGGAACAAACACAAATCGAGCGATGGAAAACCCTGGAGGAACAAAAAACGGTGGAAAAACATGATGCGAAAACGATGAAAACACGTGGGAATCGAGCCGTGACATCAACAGAAAGGCGGAAATGGCATGAAAAACTGTGAAAAAACATGATCAATTTGCAAAGTACATGGTAAAACAAATGTCTTTGCTGTACCATCTGTACCCAAAACAACTTTGAAACGGTGTTCAAATTCGGAAAAATCTGAAACGGACAGTTGCCTCATTCCGGACTCATTCCGTTTTATCAAGCAGAAACCGAGGCTACACCGCCTGTGTCGGGATGCTGAACCGCATGCACAAACACGCCATCCTAAGAAAAGCATCGACAAAAATGGGGTCTCCGCTTTCATATTTGCAAGGAGGGCACGAGTTGCTGTGAACAGCAACCCAAAACATCTTGAGTTGTGCGTGCGATTACGTTGTACGTTTGGTGCAATTATGTTTAGTAAACCTCTGTTCAATCCATATAACGGATATAATTCAAAGGAAACAGTTTTCACGTTTTCCTTTGGGGGGGAACATTGAACATACCATGTGAACATCCATTTGAACAGGTACCGTACATCATCGTTTTTTAAGGCTTGCATGGTCCGCAGTGCTATGTATGCACTTATGCACTTATGCAGTATGCATGGTATGTATGGTGTGTATGTTTTGTATGAGCGTAAATGTTGTGTATGCTATGTATGTGTATGTGTATGTTATGTACCCTATGTGTGTGTGTGTGTTATGTTACGTATGTTACGTATACTTCATGTGTTAGGTATGTAATGTATGTTCTGTATGTTGTGTGCAGTATGTTATGCAGCAAATGTATGTAGTGTATGTAATAAATGTAATGTATGCGATGTATATATATATATATGTATAGGATGCATGATGTATGTCATGAAATAATGAAATATATGCTATGTGTGTAATGTACTTAATGTATGTAACGCATGTAATGTATGCAAGGTAGGACATGTATGTAATGTAAGACATCAATGCAATGAAACGCAATGGTGTGTAATATTATGTAACGGTGTGTAAGCTTACGTAATATTTTGCAATGTTATCTTATGTAATGTTAAGTTGTGAATGTAATGTGTTAAAATGTAATGTAACGTGATGAGATGTGATGTGATGCAACGTGTGCATGCATGCATGTAAATGGCTATCATCAGCCTAAATAGTTCAAAAATCAATGCAATGCATACATATATTCGTACTATGTCTATCCCTCTTTGCGTGTGAAAAAAAAAAACTTATCTCTGTACATGAACATACCTCTATACATATGTATATATATACATACATGTTTAAAAAAAAAAATGCATACAAAACATACATGCCATAACATAACATATCTTAACGTTACATTGCATTGCATTTACAGTACATGTATAAGCATATCCATACATACAGTACATTGAAGTGCCTGTCATTACATTGCAGATTACGTTGCAATACATGTCATTACATACGGTTGACATGATCTCCATCTGTTCAAGGTAACTTCTCCTCTTGCACGGCGCTCCTTCGAGACTTTGTTGTAGCCTCTTTCGCTTCTGCCACTTGCGAAACTGGCGAATGGAGATTGATGGGCTTGGGGTATGCGGATGCTAGTTCTGGCTCAAACCAGGGATACATAACATGTTTGGGGGGGTTGTTTGAAAAGGGAACTAGATTCTGAGGAAAGTTCCTGGGGGTTTACTGTAGCCATCAATCGTAGTGATGGTGAACCATGGGATTCAATGGGCGAGATTTAGTTTGTCAAAAAAAGTGAGAAACCGGGATACCAAAGTTTTTTGCAATGTTAGGATGTTCTAAGCCTCTAAGCCAAAGGATTTTGAAGCTTTTCACATTTTTGAACAATCCGATACCAGTATCGAAGACTATCTATCTGCTCATGTGTAACAAAAATCCGATTGAAGCAATGATGATTTCACTTTATGTTACATATATATATACATATATGATGACATATCAGTCATGTCAATTCATAAAGCATACCTGGTATATCGATGCTGTTGATCCGTTTTCATCGACCACACTGCATGGCTGAATCTGGTGATCACGACAACCAAGGATTGCATGGGGATGCGGGATCCAATCGTGAGGGTAGCCATTTGCAAAATGAACCCATAAGTGTTAAGCAAACTTTCATACACTTCTGTTACATCTGTTACACCAAACTAAAATGTTTTTGTTTCGAAAGTTTAGAAGTGTTGAATTCTGAGAAAACACAATGCTCCCCATTCGGATTCAACATGATTCACCTCACCTGTTGTTCCCAGCTTCCACCTCCAAAAGGTCGCTCGGCTGCTTTCGGTGTGACAGCCGCCCCTGGGCATGGCTCAAGAATTTGGGGC